AATTTTTTAAGGAGCTAGTTTCAATTGCTACTCAGTATACACTACATTTTTTTAATTTAATAGTTTATATTAAACCTCTTTTATTCATTATATTAATGTAGAAATACTGACTTTTTATATTTTTACATTTTTTTATTTAGTTTACTAGTTTAAAAAATGTTTGAGATATAGTTTGTGATAAAATGCTAGCCGCCTGTCACCTCGTCCGTTTTTAAATCCCAGACCTATCTCTTCAGCACATTTCATTACTTTACCTTCACCAACTTTAGTGTAAATATCGCGCATGGCGAAGTTATATTTCTGTTTTTTCTAGTTTTTACTGGGGTTTCTAGTTTGCTACACAATTTCTTAATTTCGTCATTTCGGCAGAAAGTTGGTCACAGATTATTTAATGGATATGTTTACAATAACATCCATACGGTAACGATGCAACCCATCGTTGTTGCCAGAAAAAGTATAATATTTTGTTACAACTAAGAAGCTTGCCTGACACACACCATGGAATTTTACAAATGCCCAAGATATTAAATTGAAGTTTGATAAATTTATGTAAGAAATTTGTCCAAGTGTTGCTACGCCACTGACAGCATACAATTTCCAATTTTATAAAATTCCAAAGAAATCGCTGGTATAAATCGTTGTTTTTAACGATAAAAAACTGGTATTTGGGTCAAATAGTACCCCAGCTTAGCTGGTAGCGTCTAGGTTGGAGTTTTCAACTCTCGCATTTGAGTCAGTGCCACATTGTAACCCAGCTTAGCTGGCCACGTCTTGATTAGAGTTTTCAATTCATGCATATTAATCAGTGTCAGTGTAATATTCGATCAAAGGGATCGACGCATTTCTGGTTTAAGAGTTGTAGACTCTCGCGTATCGAGTATACCTAGTTATTATTATATAGCTTATAGTTTAAAAGCTACATGTTTCACAAACGCTCATTATTAATAAAATGTATTATTACTGAAGAAAACATCCTTGGTTCATGTGACAATTTTATTAGTTACATATTTAAACTGTAAGAGTGCTCTTGTGTGGTGTTTCTCGGACTCGTGTAAATTGGAGAGTGATAAGCGGTTTGGATATAAAAATTTTGCGCTAAAACTTTGGCTAGATCTTAACTTAGTTGTAGTAACAAAGTTAATTATTAAATTACGTATTGTTAAATGCTTGTGTTCTTATTTCTCACTTTAGTGAGATAGTCATTCGAATTGGAATTAATTACATTACTTATTACGCTTTAAATGGTATTAAGACCGCCATCCTAATGTGTGGAACAAATCTGTCGTTTATTTCTACCAGGTGTATAGACTTTTATTAGTTCAAGTACCAACTTTCATGGCTGCTATGGAGATTCTTAGCACACTTTAAGCATCTAAGACCTGCCGGGGACTGAGGATCCATATAAACATTTGATAGGCCATAATTGATTTTACAAGAAAAAAAAAGTGAAATGGTCTTCCGTTGCATTTTTTATCACAGTACTAAGACTGCTACAGTCTAAAGTGCTACTTTAGTAAAGTCGCATTTATGATTCTCCAATAATGAACTGGTCCAGAAATAAGTTCGTTATGCTTTCCTTTAGTAATAAGAATAGCTGCTTTCTAGTCAACCCTAAAAGCAAGATAGTATTAGTACTCTTATACACAAATAACCTAACCTAACCCATCTGTGCTAAGAACAAACCAACAATACACATTCGTATTTACTCCTGAGAAGTGATCCCATGAGCAATGTACAACCGATGTAGTTCACATCCTACGGTCAATTACTAACCGATCAAACTATTTACCAAGTAGTCTATCAAGCCTACTAGGAGAAAAATTTCCAGTGAAAAACCTAAGTTCTTATATCCATTAAAGTTTGTTTTTAAATATATAAATGTATTCAATTTTGTCACCATAATAGGCATACCCAACTGTCTAATCTCCTTAACAAAGTGTTCATGCAATCGGTTCTTTACTTTTTTTATTTAAAAATCTATACAATCTATAAGTCTTTTACAATATTAAAATTACAATATTATCTAACCTATAGAAAAATATTTAAACATAGATTTATAACGATTTCTATGAGAATACCTCACAGAGCAAAATTTTCTATAAATTTCGTGACTTATTCAAAATCACACAACATTGTATGCTCATTGTAACACTTTTCTTTATTCTGATAAACTTTTTAGCTCACAATATTATTTTGTTAAACATATACCAACTCTTTTTCAGTTCAGTAACACAATATGGTAAACATAATAACAAAAGCTTCACTTCCGTCGGTATCTCCTTAAATTCCACATACTTTGTTATGTAAGAAAAATTTAAAGCTGTATTTTTATTTGGTAAACAATTATTTGAATAAATATTTAGCAATAAAATATAGTAAAAATAGTAATTTAGTTGTGATTTTTTCGCTGGTTTCACGTATAAATATTTGACCATCCGTCAGTAGACGTTCCTTATTACATCTGTTACTTGTTCGTTTAAAACTTAAGACAATCACGCATTAGTAATATATAGGGTGTTTTAAAAAAAGATAACCCCGTCTCTAGGGTAATAGATCCTATGAATTTGTTTTTATATCTGATTCTCATAAACAGCATAGTTACATGGATCGTACTGATTATTAGTCAATATAACTTTTTTAAGAGTATAACTATTAATCAAAATTTCAAGTAAACTTAAAAATCATTCAATTTTACACGAAAAAGGTACTCTTGGTAAAACTCGATACTGTGTACAGTTTTGGGAATATTTTGATTTGAAAATTATGAAGTAATAATTGATGCTGGTATAAAATAGTTAGTAATTAAACAAAACTCACAAGAAGAAAATTAAATTAATGACTAAGAACATAAAATAAAATTTAATTACAGTAAGTGTTCAAAATGCCCTCCGTTTTCGCAAATACACAAGTCTATTCTTTTTTCTAAAGATTCCATTAACCTTCTAAACGGTAGGGGATCAGCTATGATGTCATTAAATTGACGTTGAATTCTTGGCGTGAATTTACCTCTGTAGCATAGACTTTTTCCTTAATATACGACCAAACTGCGTAGTCCAAAGGGTTAAAATCGCATGACCGAGGAGGCCAATGAATCGGAGCTTCTGCACCTCTACCAATCCATCGATTCGGAAAATGATTACTCAACCAATTACGACACCTTCTATCAAAGTGTGGTGGAGCTCCATCGTGCATAAAAAATAAAGATCTTCGCTCGTTTAGCGTTAAATCTTCTAATATCTCGAATAAGGAATTGTTTAAAAAATCAAGATACATATCACCATTTAAATTTCCAGGTAGAATATGATAACCTATTAATTTGTTACCTAAAGTTGCTGCCCAAACATTAACTTTAAATGAGTGTTGGTAATGTAATACCCTTTTGACTCGTGGATTCTCATCACACCAGTAGTGTGCATTATGGGAGTTAAACATACCTTGTCGCGTAAAGGTGGCCTCGTCCGTAAAAAGAATGCATTTTAAAAAATTTGGATTGTGGGCTGTCCTTTGTTGCAATGTTTCACAAAAATCCACTCTAACCGGTAGATCATCTGGCAAGAGCTCTTGTTGTAATGATAAGAATATAATTGCTGTTCTTTCAGTATCCGCCAAGTACTTGAAAAAGTATTTGTTTGTCTTGCTATATTCCTTACGCCAACTGTTGGATCTTTATCAAATAAATTTAAAATATTATTTTCTTTCCCAGTTTCTCTTCAACGGCTCTTAATGTTTTTTTACTTGGTAAGTTTCTTCTAGGAAATTTTTCTGCATAACGTGTCACAGCTGCACTAGAACGTCCTAAACATTCTAAGGTTTTAAAACTCTAATTATTATTGATTTATTGTCATAACAATCAATAAATGTCAATCCATGGCACACTTTTAGAAAATAGAGGTATACCTATTAGAACTTTATCATTACTACCAGCATCAATTATTACTTCAGAATTTTCAAATCAAAATACTCCGAAAACGGTACACAGTATCGAGTTTTACCAAGAGTACCTTTTTCGTGTAAAATTATTATTTATATGATGTTTAAGTTTACTTGAAATTTTAATTAATAATAATACTCTTAAAAAAGTTATATTGACTAATAATTAGTACGATCCGTGTAACTAGCGCCCTCTATGAGAATCAGATATAAAAACAAATTCATGGGATGTATCAGCTTCCAAAACATATTCGTATAAAATTTCATTACAATGTTGCCAGTAGTTTCGGCAAAATCGTAAAAAATGCGTAAATTTTTTTTTCTTCAACGCCCTGTATCTTGAAAACGGATGGCGTTACAAAAATTTTTTACTAAGCAAACCCCAATTATTTTTCAGTTTTTTACCTACCCTAGAGACGGGGTTACCTGTTTTTGAAACACTCTGTATGAATATTTGTAGAAACAACAAAATCGGAGATTATGGAACTCCTTAGGTATCATTATTGTATGTCTTTTAATTTCTAACCTTCTCCTGTATAGGTAATTTTTAAAATTCTCCTATGGGTTAGTTCCTCAAATTTATTAGTAAATTTTTTTGCCTTAGTTTATTCTGGTCTGCCTAGTATTCTTTTTTTATGGCTATGTTTTCATGCGCTATACGTACCCATATCGAGCTGTTTGCTTTTGGTTTCCTCTTCTAGATAATAGGATAAGATGGTAATATCTTTCAGAAGTATATTTATGCGGATCTGAGTATCTCTTATTTTAATTGACTATATCTCACTTTCATAATCCATATTATTTGTCCCTATAGTATTCTGTATAAATTTTTTGGTTATCATTTGTGATAGTTGGATCTGGTAAAACGTTATTTCTGAGATATACGAGTATTTCAATTGTTGTTTTTTGTTTCATGGTTGCACTTGTGGAAGTCCTTAATACTTGTTCATTTTCTTTTATTAAAAATTAATTTTATTGCCAAACAACATAAATACTCCGTCTTGTGTACGTATACTTTTGAGCTCTATCAGCTCTATAAGCTCTCTACTAACCATATTTTTTTATTTCAGGACAATACTCCTTAATAATTGTAAGTGCAGCATTAACGGTCTTTGGATTGGTGCAGATACTATTTCCTCCATTTGATTTACTGCTAAGTTTACGAATACGAATGACCCCTGGTAAGTACAACGGTTATAATATTTTTCGTTTAATGTTAGTAACTGATCGTTGTTTTTATTATTATAGTTAAGATCTACCTAAAGTTAGATCTAGTGTCACATATTGTACAGAAACGTAAAGTAAGTAAAGCATAATAAAGAGCAAAGTAAATTAAAAAGAAAGATAATTATTAAACTAACGTATGAGAAATCGAAACTAAGATGAGACTGCAAATGCAAACTGCAAATGAGACCTAATCTGGTCTTGAATATTGAAAATGAATATTTTCAAAGAGATATAGTTTGTTTTATAGCATTAATCCTTCCACAGTATTTAATTCTATTGCTTCTAAGAAGTCCTGCCAGAGGTATACCTAGGCACTCGCAAGATTTTTTTTCTTAAAGGACCTTGTAATCGTGAGACTTTGACAGATTTTGGCATTAAGAGCTAGTATATAAAATGAGAGAATATGTTTCCAGCGGAGCTATGACAATAATATTGACCTTGTACTTTGGCGACTAAAGGTTTAAAGTCAGAATAGACAACTCCTGTCCGAAGACGGATACCCGAAGGTTGAAGTACCCGCAGAAGTAGTACTGTCATTCCTACTGTGGTACATATAGACATCTGGCACTCCAAGAATATTCAAAACTTGGTATTTATGCACACGACACTGATATAGCGGCACAGCATAGAAACCTGGATAGAACCATGAGAAACTTAGACACGCAATGGATACAATACGAGACTGTTGTCTCCAATATAAGAAAGAACAAGAATAAAAACCAAAATTAACAGTTAATAATATAAACAAAAAAAAACTAATAAATAGCATCATACTACCTATAATCACAAATGCATAGCTCGTATCGGACACACATGGAAAACAAACAAAAAAAAAGATGCAAGCCACCCATAACAAACACTTGAGACAAATAGCGAAAGCGCCCAGATTATGAAGTTGAACATTTTATATTTAGAAATTTAAAGCATGTAAGAGTACTCGAGATAATGGAAGAAGATCCCATGAAAAAATTCGTTGAGCTTGAAATCACCCAAACCAGATCCTACGAGAATCAATAGGGTATACTGTTTTCCATAGATGGAAATACAGAAGATCAAAACACCAAATAATAGCAAATGATTTAAAAAATAATCTTCTCCTTTCTTCTTCCTTCTTGTATGTAGGCCTCAAAGCATGTATTTTTTTAATATTAGCCTACTAAATTGTTAAAATTATCGCATAATCTTTTTTTCGGTCTGCCAATACTTCTTTATCTACTTATTTCCAATACATATCTCGTGCTATTTGTACTATCCTATTATCTGTCATTTTAATTAGTTCAAGCAGACGTCTCGTTTTAGATGTGTCAGGTCTTGTCTCAGCCGTGTATGTTAATATGGGTCTAATTGCTGCTTTATAGATTCTTGTTTTTGTGTCTTGTCTTAGGTGTTTGTTCATCCAGATTGTGTTATTAAGAGATGCCGACACTTTACTTGCTTTTAGTTTTGTTGTCGTACTTCTTCTTCAACATCTCCGTAACTAGTTATTTCTATTCCCAGATATCTAAACTCTGCTTTCTGCTTTATTATTTTTCCATCAATTTCGATTTTACATCGTAGTTGGTGTTTAGATGTTGTCACAAATTTAATTTTTTTACTTATATTATCATATTGTATTTCTTGATATGTGTTAATCTTTGATGACCTTTTCTGTGATGTATCTTATTACAAATATGGAGTCTACGCAGGATCTTCCGGATCTGAATCCTTGTTGTTCATCTGATAAAGTTGTTAGTTTATTGCTTTTGTTGGTTGTGACTTTTGTGGTAAGCTTAAGTGCAGTGTTCAGTAGATTTATACCTCTATAAGTGTTGGGGTCTTCTTTATCTCCTTTCTTGAATATTGGTATTATTATGATGTATCTAGATGCGTCTGGTATCCTGCAGTGCAATATTAGTTTTTGTATAAATTTTATCATCTCTAGGGTTATACTTTCTCCTCTGTGTTTAAATAACTCGTTGGTTATTACATCTGGTCCTAGTGACTTTTTATTATTGAGTAAATTTATGGCCATCTCTACTTCCTGAAAACTGATTTCTATTTCGTATCTTAATTCAAGAACGTTACTATATTGATTATTATTTTCCTTTCCTATAAACGGTTTTGTCAGGTATCATTTCCATTCGTTTGCAAGTATGTTATTGTATTCCTTCTATTTTGCCATTTCTTTTCGATGGTTTCTTATGAATCTCCTTATTTGGTTTTATGTACAGTAAAAGTCTCTTTTCATCTTTTTTGTAAACTGTTACCAGTGTTCATTTTTTGTTCTTCATACAAACTGCTTTGTTTTATTTCGTATTTGTCTATAGGTGTCTCAGAATTCTGGAGTACTTGATATTTTGTACTTTGTATACGTTTCTCCTTTCTTTTTACATTTTTTTTTCATTTATTTTTTGAACCATGATGTATTGTGTTTGTTTCTTCTAAAATAATAAAATGACAAAATAATCACGAAGCTCTATCTAAAGAATCAATGGAATTCAAATCACAAGAAGGTAAATACTTTAACCAGAATAAAGCATCGAGAAGATAAATACATTTAGACACCCCCTTCCAAAAAAGTATTAAAACCAAACAAAAAATAGCCTTGAACAAACGAGAAAAAAAAACAGTAGAACGGCGCAAGCGACAAAAAAAATTACTAATCACAAAATCGCAAAAATTGGCCCAAACTCTCGAGCGCTGACTCGTCGACTGGACCCAGTTCGGAAAGGAGACTGGCAGGATTATATCGTCTCACGCACTTTAACCTAACTAGGAGAAGTATTTCATGTAAAAGTCCTTGCACTAAGACTCCCATATGTACCCTCAGATTTGCAGCCTCTACAGCGCAGCAGCGTGCTGTTGGGAGCGGCTAATAGTCTGGATCACCATGTGATCTGATTTCACCCCATTGAGTTACATTTAAATGTCATTTACTACCGGGTGTGCATATCTCACAGGCTGGGTTAAATTCTATTGCTTACTTGCTCGTTAAGAACCTACTTTGACTGCAGTTAAACTTACCGAGGAACTGACGACACAAAGTAAAAAATTAGATAGGCAGCGTAAATTTGATAAAATCAAACGTATTAGATATATAGTTAAATAAATGCAAAAACATGGTAAAAAATTTCAAGATTAAAACTTGCGGAAAAAAATTTTTTATATTGAAGAGTAATAAATACTACAAAATAATACTACAACCCTGATTTTGTCAAAAAGACAATAATACCTTTCTTATTAAAATCTGAATAAATAAAATAATGGTACAACCCTGGCAAGGTAATTCGCATATCCGTAAAATATCATTCAAAATTTATATTTAAAATGTATGTAGTATGGTTTGGAACCATTGATAATTATTTGTTGCGGATATGCGAATTACCTTGCAATTTGAAAATCGAGATTAATTTACATTTTTTATAAAATGATTTTATTGATTTATTGTAAGAATTTTTTTTTTGAGTTAATGCCTCGACAACTTATGATCATTGGCATGGTACAGTCAGATACCTAGTGTAGTGTGTGTGTGTGTGTGTGTGTATGTGTGTGTGTGTGTGTGTGTGTGTGTGTAGAGTAATTGTCTTGATACTTAGCAAAGTCTACGTCATTGTCTTTGCTAAGAGACACTAATTGTATCCGAACGTCTGCGGTCCCTTCGGTGAGTACCGATCGCACAAGGTATTGTAAGAATTGTGATCAAATTTAAGGGGAAATATGTGGTTTCTACAAGATAGTACACCATTACATTATAGAGAAAGCGGAGTGAGATAGTATTTAAATACAACTTTCCTGAACGTTGGATTGTTCATGGTAGTCATATTCTTGTGGTGATATATTAATATTATTATTTAATTCATAAACATTTCAAAAAATTACTTAATATTATACTTATAACACTTATAATAAATACTGCAGCAGTTTCTTTAGAACCAATGACGCTATTTAATATGAGACGCTATTTTATGGAATGTATTGACAAATGAATTAAAGAAAATGGTGGATATATTGAACACTTACTTTGACAAAAAGTTTAATGTTATTTACTTTAACTATTTCTTAATTTGGTTTGTAAATAAAATGTTTTGATTATGACTTTAATTTAATACAAAACGTAAAATGTTTGATGTAAAATCCAATTATTCTGTAATTTATCAAATCCTATTATTTTATCCTGCTGATATATTTATTTTATTTAATAATTCATTAACTATTAACTTTATTAAAGGTATTTTAAAACAAATTTCAGAAGTATTGATGTTTTTCTTTAATTTTTCCATATCGATAAATCAGAATTATGTAGTTGATTTCTAAAATGCGATTATCTCGAAAACTGTTGAGTTTTGAAGATATTAACAGGTATACCTTTTTTTGTTAGAATGATGGATCTTTAATATTTTTTATTAAAAATACCGGTAACTAAAAAAGTAAAAAAGTTACGTGCAAAATATATATATATATATATATATATATATATATATATACATATATACATATATATATATATATATATATATATATATATATATATTAATATATATATATATATATATATATATATATATATTAATATATATATATATATATATATATATATATATATATATATACATACAGATATACATATACAGGGTGATTCTTAAATAAGTCTAAAAAAAGAAATCGCAGATTCTACACTTTAAAATATTACGATAAAAGCCAAATTGCTTTAATAAAAAGTTGATATTAAGAAAGATACAGGGTGTTAAAGTAAAATTTAAAATTTAATTTTTCGCTTTAACTTTCATGTTTGTGAACATTTATATATAAAAATACATACTTTACAGTTGTAAAAACTTACAACTGGATACTATTGAATATCAGCAATTATAATTTGATGCATACTTTGATGTAGCTGATAGAGGGCGCCACATATGCCACATATGTGGCATACATTTGCACTTAACTTTTTGGCTGTTAAAGTTATCGGTATTTT